CATACATACATACATACATACATACATACATACATACATACATACATACATACATACATACATACAATAATACATGCATATATACATACATATATATGTGTATATTTTGATATTTAGGGTTTTAATGACATGAAACTTGTCAGCAAGAATACAACTTGTATTTTTTTGATAACTGAGCTATTTAAGTTATTATATATATATATATATATATATATATATTGGCATTGGAAAGAGCATGGTGGCTTGGCTCCCGGTTTCTCAAGTGGTGGAGCTAGCTCAAACAGTTTGTGACTACGATTAATAGACTCAAAGTTCACTCTACGCCTCTGTCGTCATTTCAGCCTTGGATAGCATCATCTCTTAGACCGAATAAAGCGCGAACGTTAAAGGGGGCGACTAGCTTAATTGTTTTCGAGGCGGTTTTGAGTGACAGTGCTTGTTTAAATGAATTCGCATAGTCTTGCCTCAAACGCTTGAATGCGGTCAAGGGCACTTTTGGCTATATTTGACAAATAAGCCTGTTGCCAATCGTGAAAATAACCTTGGATATAGGCCGTATATTTTCTTCAACAGAAAACGAAGCAAATTGTAACATGATAAAGAGATGAAAAAATGTTCATTCGCACACGAGCCTTGATTGGTCAAGGTTGCAATTGGCTTATCGAAAACTGCCTCAAATTATAGCTTCTCATAAACCCTCTTATCTAATCAAACTAGAGCAAGAATAGTGCACTTAAATGCATTTATATGCTGTCGAAATTGCGGCTTTATCGATAGATATTACTTCTACTCATGACAGCGGCAGATGGTCAATTGATGGTTCGAAGTGAGAGGTAGAATCTTCTAAAAGTGAAAGAAGAATTCCATGGTGTCGTTAATCCAAAAAATGTTTTATAAATGAACTAACTTTGACTTCTTTTTATGTACACCTGATGGCAACCCTACCCCACATGACTATTTTAAACAAGGCCTTGATTTTATCATTTCATCATGCATTCAAAAAGGTTTTTCTCAACTCATCATCAGACTACGGGATTCAAACGAAGGAAGGGCGAGTTAAGAGGCGATCCTGTTATCTCCTACTCCCTCTGCCTACACGACAAGGCGCTCTCTCAACTAGTATAATGTTGTGGATAATGCTGTATCGATGGGCAGTTGTATGTTTGTCATACAACTCGATGTACTATGAAGTTGGCAGTTAGTAACTGCTGTTACAAATTTCGAAGGTCTGTACTCACAACAAAATCAGTAGTCTATTGAATTTACTAGAAATGGCATGGCTGTCTACCGTTACAGAATCCTCCACAGAGTGATGCGATGCGAGAAGGCTAGACAGGCTTGCTTTATTTTTCGAATTAAGTATTGTTTTCGGGACTACCAGTAAATCAGTAATATAAAATGTTTTCACCAAATTTCGTTTAAGGTGATGAAGGACTGATAAAAGAAGAATTTTCCCACATTGATATGAGTTGAGCTGACGTTTCCATTGAATTTCACATAGCCTTGCTATCCCAAAAGTTGTTCTCATGCAGAAAGAAGTGGACTGCAGTTTCGACCTCGCATAGGTCTTATCAACTTTTGAGAAGGCAAGGCTCTGTAAAATTCAATGAACAACGTCAGGTCTACTCATATGAATGTGGGAAAATTATACCACCAGTCCTTCATCACCTTAAACGAAATTGTGTGAATACATCTCATATTCTGAATAGAAGCACGAGGCCAATAGAATTGGACCTCCTCTTGAGAGGTATGGCGGAGACCGAAGATAATTATCTTGCATAAGACGATGACCGTGACGTAAAGGCTTGAGACTTACCCGGCAAACCTGCTGAAATAATATATGGAGAACTGTGGCGTTAAATTAGTCTTGTATGCAAACTTGAGAGTCCAGACTTCGGGGGCCTGTTCATCGAGGCAATGTAATGTCAAATGCAATAGAAACATGAGGTCTACCCCCTATCCTCCTAAACGAAATAGGAGGAATACATCTAGTTTATAAATGGTCTACTGGTACCTTCACCGTCAATCCCACAACAGAATGTGATATGGCGATTCACACCTACCCGGTGGCCCAAGAGCACTTGTGGCAACGTGGCCTAGTGGTTAAAGTGTCCTGGTTCGAATCCTGCTGGGGATGCGGATGAGACCAGTCAAGGCGAGACGGAAACTGCAGTCCATTCCTGCCTGTATGGGAATACCTTTTATCAAATTCAATTTAAATGCAACGTCTGCTCGTATGATTGTTAGCGAGTGCAACTAATAGTCCCTTTATCAGCCTAAGCGAAATGAGATGAGTACATTTCATCTACTGGTAGTCTCTAAGGTCTAATTATAGTCGTTAACCTTCTCTCAGCTACTTTGAGTTGGATTTCAGAGGGTTATAGGCTGTTGATCGGTGAAAGCCCAATTCCTAAAGTGCTCCTTGTTTTTTCTCTTCATGTCTCTTCTTGCAGCCGATACTTCAAAGTTAGCGTCAAAGAGAGCCCTGCTACCCGATCGAGCGTTTACACCCCACTCGAAGGAGGGCGTGAGTTCGAGGTCGGAGCGAACCAGGCGGCCAACGACGGACCAACCTATTTGACCCCTTGGGATTTGCAGCAGAACAGATTTGCTGAGCCCGACTCCCGCTCGCCATCAGCAGTCTCGATAGCCTATAAATCGAGTCCGGTCAGACTGGCCACTTCTGACGACTTCGAGGCGTACCCTGGACGACTGACACCAACGCAGACGCCAAAACCGATGCCACAATGGCAGTCCTTTCCTTCGGCTGTGACCAATTCTTCCGCATGGACAAAGCTTGCCGTGGTGCGCTCGCAGAGCCCCGGAGAGTCAATGGAACAAGCTTCTGAGTCGACACTCTCTATTGCCTCACAGGCTTATCGGATCGCTGATGAACGCGACTCTGTGCCCGAAAATGTACAGCTGGAAAATCGTGGGCTATCGGGCTGGAGGTCTTATAATGTGAGATTTGGCCCTCGACCTGTACCGTATTTTGCTTTACGCTCGATCTTTTGGCAAGTTTAGGTCTGATAAAAGAGTTGTGATTAAATTCGAAGGTCGATCCCATGAGAAGATGGCGCCTGATTATCGTTGTACCACAGCTGTTTGGCTTTAATACGTCGTTCAGTATGACGTAGTCCACGGGGCATCCTCCATCATTTCGAATGAAAATTGGCTGAGTTATTGTCCATCCAATGGTGGACCTGTTGTAAAATTTTACGCTAACAAAGAAAAAGTAAAGAAGACTGTTCGGCTCTATCTTACCTCTTGTCTATACTCATATCTGCAAAGCGAAACTGTATAGACATAAAAAGATATAGAATGATTTGACTAATTCCCTTTCATACTTTTCATGTTACTTTTAATTTTGTTTGTGTGTGTGCGTATATATTAATGCCTATACGTATAAATATATATCTATCTATGTCTACTCTATTTCGATTTTAGGTATGAGCATATATAAGAGGTAAGATGAAGCCGGATAGTCTTTATGGTCTACTTTTAAGTTCATAATTTTACAAGAATAAGTATCAGCCCTGATT